CGTCTAAGGATGGAGATTGTCGTGTTGGTGAGAAGAGGAAAGGTTTCGGATCAGTGCTTGCTTATGGTGGAGAAACATTGCCTAAGATGAAGAGACGTCTTACTCAGAGGAGAAGGTGTAATTAACCTCGAGAAAGGTTTCGTAAGATCATCAAAATTCATCAGTAATGGGAAAATGTGCAAAGAAAACTATGATTTTGTATTGTGTTGTTTCTTAAGTCTCTTAACGTATTTTGTTGTTGTTGTTGTTTTAGAGTCTCTCTATTAAGTTTAAAACTATTGTTTTGAAGAGAAACTATTACAATATATTTGACAATTAAAACAAACATACAACATGTCTTCCGGACATTGTCAAGAAAACAAGTTAGATGACAAATTCAAAGCTATGTTTGAAACCGAAGACGAAAAGTTCTAGAAGCTCCAAGAATGCTTAGAGCCACTGCGTGAGAACCAGATACAAGTCGACGGCTTTACTCTATCTAATTTGTACAATCGTTTCTATTTAACAGCAGCCCAAATGGTTAAACATGTCCAAATCCTCACTACGATTTCTTACAAAGATGTACGCAAAAGTGTGTTAGCCAAGGCAAACTCCTTAGGGGTATATTCTTTAAACCACGAGATGAATCTCTTTCACATCTACCAAGTTTGCGGATGAATGAAAACCAAAGCCGATATCGAAGCCGTTGTGGAGGTTCAACATAGCGAGAAGCTGAAGAGACGAGCAACAACAAAAGGGAGGACGGTTGCTGAATCGGCTATGATCAGAGCCTTTAACGCTCAGTTTGCTGAGTATAGCTCTGAGCTAAAAAAGACTCGTGCGGTCCAGGAGAAAGATAGTGAGACTGGAATTCGTCTACGAGACAAGTACTGGCCAGTTTCAGGATTTGATGTAGCCATCAATATTGTACATGAAGAAGCAGTTCTTTATTTTTGTAGGAAAGAATACGTGAAACGTGGTTTGTACAAGTACGTTGAAGGATTGATTGAACGTAAGATGATTAGTTTTGCTTTACGTGAAGCTGATACTCTTCAACATGTTCTTAAAGAAATGGAAAGTTTGGAAGTTACGGTTTCGTCTAAGGATGGAGATTGTCGTGTTGGTGAGAAGAGGAAAGGTTTCGGATCAGTGCTTGCTTATGGTGGAGAAACATTGCCTAAGATGAAGAGACGTCTTACTCAGAGGAGAAGGTGTAATTAACCTCGAGAAAGGTTTCGTAAGATCATCAAAATTCATCAGTAATGGGAAAATGTGCAAAGAAAACTATGATTTTGTATTGTGTTGTTTCTTAAGTCTCTTAACGTATTTTGTTGTTGTTGTTGTTTTAGAGTCTCTCTGTTAAGTTTAAAACTATTGTTTTAAAGATAAACTATTACAATATATTTGACAATTAAAACAAACAAACAACATGTCTTCCGGACATTGTCAAGAAAACAAGTTAGATGACAAATTCAAAGCTATGTTTGAAACCGAAGACAAAAAGTTCCAGAAGCTCCAAGAATGCTTAGAGCCACTGCGTGAAAACCAGATACAAGTCGACGGCTTTACTCTATCTGATTTGTACAATCGTTTCTATTTAACAGCAGCCCAAATGGTTAAACATGTCCAAATCCTCACTACGATTCCTTACAAAGATGTACGCAAAAGTGTGTTAGCCAAGGCAAACTCCTTAGGGGTATGTTCTTTAAACCACGAGATGAATCTCTTTCACATCTACCAAGTTTGCGGATGAATGAAAACCAAAGCCGGTATCGAAGCCGTTGTGGAGGTTCAACGTAGCGAGAAGCTGAAGAGACGAGCAACAACAAAAGGGAGGACGGTTGCTGAATTGGCTATGATCAGAGCCTTTAACGCTCAGTTTGCTGAGTATAGCTCTGAGCTAAAAAAGACTCGTGCCGTCTAGGAGAAAGATAGTGAGACTGGATTTCGTCTACGAGACAAGTACTGGCCAGTTTCATGATTTGATAAAGCCATCAATATTGTACATGAAGAAGCAGTTCTTTATTTTTGTAGGAAAGAAGACGTGAAACGTGGTTTGTACAAGTACGTTGAAGGATTGAATGAACGTAAGATGATTAGTTTTGCTTTACGTGTAGCTGATACTCTTCAACCTGTTCTTAAAAAAATGGAAAGTTTTGAAGTTACGGTTTCGTCTAAGGATGGAGATTGTCGTGTTGGTGAGAAGAGGAAAGGTTTCGGATCAGTGCTTGCTCATGGTGGAGAAACATTGCCTAAGATGAAGAGACGTCTTACTCAGAGGAGAAGGTGTAATTAACCTCGAGAAAGGTTTCGTAAGATCATCAAAATTCATCAGTAATGGGAAAATGTGCAAAGAAAACTATGATTTTGTATTGTGTTGTTTCTTAAGTCTCTTAACGTATTTTGTTGTTGTTGTTGTTTTAGAGTCTCTCTGTTAAGTTTAAAACTATTGTTTTAAAGATAAACTATTACAATATATTTGACAATTAAAACAAACAAACAACATGTCTTCCGGACATTGTCAAGAAAACAAGTTAGATGACAAATTCAAAGCTATGTTTGAAACCGAAGACGAAAAGTTCCAGAAGCTCCAAGAATGCTTAGAGCCACTGCGTGAGAACCATATACAAGTCGACGGCTTTACTCTATATGATTTGTACAATCGTTTCTATTTAACAGCAGCCCAAATGGTTAAACATGTCCAAATCCTCACTACGATTCCTTACAAAGATGTACGCAAAAGTGTGTTAGCCAAGGCAAACTCCTTAGGGGTATGATCTTTAAACCACGAGATGAATCTCTTTCACATCTACCAAGTTTGCGGATGAATGAAAACCAAAGCCGATATCGAAGCCGTTGTGAAGGTTCAACGTAGCGAGAAGTTGAAGAGACGAGCGTTAACAAAAGGGAGGAAGGTTGCTGAAACGTCTATGATCAGAGCCTTTAACGCTCAGTTTGCTGAGTATAGCTCTAACCTAAAAAGGCTCGTGCGGTCCAGGAAAAAGATAGTGAGACTGGAGTTAGTTTACGAGAAAAGTACTGGCCAGTTTCAGGATTTGATGTAGCCATCAATATTGTACATGAAGAAACAAGCAGTTCTTGATTTTTGTAGGAAAGAGGACATGAAACGTGGTGTGTACAAATATGTTGAATGATTTATTGAACGTAAGATGATTTGTTTCGCTTTACGTGAAGTTGATACTCTTTGGGCTGTTTTTACAGAAATGGAAAGTTTTGAAGTTCCGGTTTCGTCTAAGGATGGAGATTGTCGTGTTCGTGAGAAGAGGAAAGGTTTTGGATCAGTGCTTGCTCATGGTGGAGAAACATTGCCTAAGATGAAGAGATGTCTTACTCGTGAGGAGAAGGTGTAGTTAACCTCGAGAAAGGTTTCGTAAAATCATCAAAATTCATCAGTAATGAGAAAATGTGTTAAGAAAACTATGATTTTGTATTGTGTTGTTTCTTAAGTCTCTTAATGTATTTTGTTGTTGTTGTTGTTGTTGTAAAGTCTCTCTGTTAAGTTTAAAACTATGGTTTTAAAGAGAAAATATTACAATATATTTCACAATTAAAACAAAAATACAACATGTCTTCCGGACATTGTCAAGAAAACAAGTTAGATACCAAATTCAAAGCTATATTTGAACCCGAAGACGAGAAGTTCTAGAAGCTCCAAGAATGCTTCGAACCACTGCGTGAGAACCAGGTACAAGTCGACGGCTTTACTCTATCGGATTTGTACAACCGTGTCTATTTAACAACAGCTCATATGGTTAAACATGTCCAAGTCCTTACTACAATTCCTTACAAAGATGTACGCGGAAGCGTGTTAGCCAAAGGCAAACTCCTTAGGGATATGTCCTTCAAACCACGAGATGAATCTGTTTCACATCTACCAAGTTTGCCAATGAATGAAATCGAAAGCCGGTATCAAAGATGTTGTGGAGGTTCAACCTAGCGAGAAGCTAAAGAGACGAGCGACAGCAAAAGGGAGGACGGTTGCTGAATCGGCTATGATCAGAGCTTTTAACGCTCAGTTTGCTGAGTATAGCTCTGAGCTAAAAAAAGGCTCGTGCGTTCCAGGAGAAAGATAGTGAGACTGGAGTCCGTCTACGAGACAAGTACTGGCCAGTTTCAGCATTTGATGTAGCCATCAATATTGTACATGAAGAAGCAGTTCTTAATTTTTGTAGGAAAGAGGACGTGAAACGTGGTTTGTACAAGTATGTTGAAGGATTGATTGAACGTAAGATGATTAGTTTCGCTTTACATGAAGCTGATACTCTTCCGGCTGTTCTTAAAGAAATTGAAAGTTTTGAATTTCCGGTTTTGTCTAAGGATGGAGATTGTCGTGTTGGTGAGAAGAGGAAAGGTTTTTGATCGGTGCTTGCTCATGGTGGAAAAACATTGCCTAAGATGAAAAGTAGTCTTACTCGTGAGGAGAAGATGTAATTAACCTCGAGAAAGGTTTTGTAAGATCATCAAAATCCATCAGTAATGGGAAAATGTGCTAAGAAAACTATGATTTTGTATTGTGTTGTTTCTTAAGTCTCTTAACATATTTTGTTGTTGTTGTTGTTGTAGAGTCTCTGTGTTAAGTTTAAAACTATTGTTTTGAAGAAAACATATTACAATATATTTGACTACTAAAACAAAAATACAACATGTCTTCCGGACATTGTCAAGAAAACAAGTTAGATGCCAAATTTAAAGCTATGTTTGAAACCGAAGACAAGAAGTTACAAAAGCTCCAAGAATGCTTAGAGCCACTGCGTGAGAAGCAGGTACAAGTCGACGGCTTTACTCTATTTGATTTGTACAACCGTGTCTATTTAACAGCAGCCCAAATGGTTAAGCATGTCCAAGTCCTCATTACAATTCCTTACAAAGATGTATGCGGAAGCATGTTAGCCAAGGCAAACTCCTTTAAACCACGAGATAAATCTTTTTCACATCTACCAAGTTTGCCAATGGATGAAAAGCAAAGCCGGTATCGAAGCTGTTGTGGAGGTTCAACGTAGTGAGAAGCTAAAAAGACGAGCGGCAGCAAAAGGGAGAATTGTTGCTGAATCGGCTATGATCAGAGCCTTTAACGCTCAGTTTTCTGAGTATAGCTCTGAGCTAAAAAAAGGCTCCTGCGGTCCAAGAGAAAGATAGTGAGACTGGAGTCAGTCTACGAGACAAGTACTGGCCAGTTTCAGGATTTGATGTAGCCATCAATATTGTATATGAAGAAACAGTTCTTGATTTTTGTAGGAAAGAGGACGTGAAACGTTGTTTGTAAAAGTATGTTGAAGGATTGATTGAACGTAATATGATTAGTTTCGCTTTACGTGAAGCTGATACTCTTCGGGCTGTTCTTAAAGAAATGGAAAGTTTTGAAGTACCGGTTTCATCTAAGGATAATGATTGTCGTGTTGGTGAGAAGAGCAAAAGTTTTGTTGCTCATGGTGGAAAAACATTGTCTAAGATGAAGAGACGTATTACTCGTGAGTAAACGATGTAATTAACCGCAAGAAAGGTTTCGTAAGATCATTGAAATTCATCGGTAATGGGAAAAAATGCTTAAAAAATTATGATTTTGTATTGTGTTGTTTCTTATGTCTCTTAACGTATTTTGTTGTTGGTGTTGTATAGTTCTCCGTTAAGTTTAAAACTATTGTTTTGAAGAGAAGAAAATAATATATTTCCATTTAATAAATTAGGATGATAGATACACACTAGAACTATGATGTAGTGACTTTTGGGAAAAACTATTGATTTTTAAAATTGTATATTTTTTTATAAACTATTATTTTAAACAAATATGTGAAATACATGAAGTCATTTTATTCTTTTTTTTTTTTTTGGTCACCAAAGTCATTTTATTCATCTTAATAATTATCGATAGTCTCAATTTTGTTTTGGTAAAGATGGATAGTCTAAAAGTCTACGAGCTGATTTGTCCATTGACAAAAACAAAATATTTAGTTATTAATGTTTAGTCAAACTCAAAAATACTCTCATTAAAAGTGAGAATTACGTAAAAATAGAAAGTTAAAAAGTGTTATATTAACTGGATATTTAGGCAAAACAAGAAATATATATTCTAAAATTATTTTTAGATAATTCCCGATTTTCCCGTTTTCTGTACTAAATATTTACTTTCTTTTTCTCCCAAAAAGAGAATATTTTCGTGATTTTGGTAAAATTTGTTTCCGATTTTTCTGTTAATATTTACGAAAGATTTACTCTTCTAAGTTTCAATTATATCTAAAAAGGAAATAAATAGAAAATAAAAAAGGAAAATATACATATCAATATTCATAAACTGTAATTATTAATAACGTCTTCAATGTTTCGTCTTCCTTAGTTTTTTTTTACATAATAAGCTCCTTTTCGTTTTTTATTTTAATCTTTCTACAGACACACTCTCTCCACAAGACACAACAACACACATAAAAAGGTACGATGATGAATCTTTAACTATATATGTTCTATGTTTAGGTTTTTGATATCTGATCACATAAACTCAAAACTCAATATGTTTTTCTACTTTTTATGTTTTGATTGTAAGATTCTCCTGCATGTTTACTTGAGTTTAAGTCGGAGAGACAACGATGATCCGTTCAAGAGATGAAGTTGACGACATCGTCGATCTCAACGTGATCAGAACAGTTAATGTAATCTGTAATGATCCATACGCCACCGATTCCTCTAGCGATGATGATGATGAAGTCGTCATCTCCGGGAAGAATACTCGCCGCCGTCACATCAAACCTAAACCACGGAAGCGTTTCGTCTCGAGGATCTGTGTCCCGACGCTGATCAAAAGGTATGAGAACCTTTCGAGTTCCACGGGGAACAAAGCAGCCGGGAATCGGAAAACGTCGTCGGGATTCAAAGGGGTAAGGCGGCGGCCGTGGGGGAAATACGCGGCGGAGATTAGAGATCCGTTTGAGAAGAAGAGAAAGTGGCTTGGAACGTTTCCTACTGAAGAAGAAGCAGCAGAGGCTTATCAGAGAAGTAAAAGCGTGTTTGATGAACGAATGGGTTTAGTTAAAGCCGAAGTGGATGTGGTAGATTTAACCAAGCCGTGTGGTGTACGTAAACCTGAAGAGTGCAGTGTACGTAAGCCGGTTAAATCAACCAAGTCGTCGGTTCCATCTCGGTCGGCTAAAGGCAAAAAGGTACATAAGAAAAACGTTGTTGACAATACATTTGTTTGTGGTGGTTATGTTGATGAAGATGAGGGGTTGTCGATTGATAAATTGTTGGAAGATCCGTTGATGACACCTTCGATTTCCGACATTTTTCGCGATTCGGCTGTTGGATCGGATGATATTTGGGTGGATTGCAATCCAGCGGAATTTAATTCTATTTTCGATGATTTTAAGTTGGACTCTTTGGAGGTGGATGATAAAATAGGCAATGAGAAAACATTAGGATTCAAGATTGGGGATACTCCCGCTGAAATTGCATCGACGATTGCAAATATTTTCGACGATGCTGATTTACGCGAGTTTGAGCAGTTGGCGGATGAGTTTAGGTTAGGAGATTCTCCAACGGATGATTTTTGGGTACTAGGGGAGCCAGACGTTGGTGATGATTATAATTGGCTTAATAGTACCATTGACTGGATAGATAAGAGTTTATAGAGATATATTTTGGGATACTTTTTTTTTTTGTGTGACAAGGCAACGGCACTAGTACAAAACCATTGAGTTACTAGTTCTTGTAATTCGTTTTGGGTTTTGTAACGTAATTATTTATATATATATATATAACATAGATTATCTCATGTTTCGTCTAAATTTGTAACGTATAAGTATTTATATACTGCTTGAAAAAATAACCAGAAAACATACTAGTATGAAATGTTTCAATAATTAAATTGATTAAGAATAAAGTTGTAACGATGTTTATTTTTTGGATAAGATTCAAAACCTATACCAACTCTTGCACGAGCTAAAAATGTTCCACATGAGCTTTTGTACTTTGGGACTAGCTTCTGGTTTCGTTGCAGTAGTCTTTTTTATTTGACAAAGCAGAATCTGAGAGAGTTCGATCCTAAGACTCGGTGGCTAACGATCTTCGGACAAATCGACCTTTCATTCTCGGCCTTTTGTCTGCGTTAACCTTCCTAACCTCATACCTTATCTTCTTCTCGAACAAACGATTCTTCTTTTTGTCTCTGTATCTCCAAACTCTAGCTTCTCTCTCACTTCTGCTGGTTACTCTCTTCTCTTCTATTATCCCCTGCAATTAAGAAGCATTACAATAAAAGTCTTTTATAACACTTGGGGTTGAATTTGTCCATTAGAAAATTATGATAAAAGATGTTTGTAAGAATTCAAAAGATTAGGGGCTCTTACCGGAGGAACTAGCTGGAAGTTACTTGTGTTGTTAAACTCATTTTGGTTTCTTGTTGCTTCTCTTGGAGATTCTTGTTTATCCCAAGCTGCTATAACATTTTCATAATTCAGTCTAAGTAACATGTTTCTCTGCCTTGTATTATTCTCATAATCTTCAATTACTTCTGTCTTGGCTGAAATCGTAATGACATTGTCATAATCTTTCTTGCAGCTTATCAAAGATTGTCCAGGACATGCTTCAGCTCCATTAGTTTTAGTTGCTGCTTCTTCAATGTAATATAGATCCTCCATTGCATCGATTTCATCTTCAAAGTTGAATTGTTTCGTTGTTTCTTGAGTACCATTGTGGTTGGTCAAGAAGAAGCCCATCTCTGTGAATCCTTCGAACTCTGGCACAAGAGAAGTCATATCATCCTCATCATCATTTGGTTCTGGTATGAAAAACATTGCTTCACCTCCAATCTCGGGAACACGAGGGTCTTCTCTCCTTCTCTCATCTTCTTTCTTTTCTTGTGTTTTTTTCTCATAGCGGGATCTAGGTGTTCTTGCTTTTCTTCTGAACCCGCTGTGCCAAACTGGGTTTGATGTTGTTCCTCCAAGCACATCACTCGGTGTTCGAAGACAAACTCTTTTGTGTTTTGTCGCCACATGGTTTGCAGAATGCACTGATTCATCACAAACATAGCACAAGAAAGCATCGTCCGATGCACAGTACCAAACCGCGTGTTTGTCAGGACACAGGTCGCAAGCTCGTGGCTGCTTCTTCACATCTTCTTGGTACTTTGGCATCATAATATCTGCGTAAAACACAAAACAGAGTTAAAGAGAAGAAATCAAACTAGAAGAAGAGCGTGGCATTGTAACAAAACAGTAATGGTCTTATACTTTGGATATTTTGGGGACTTGTCATGAGCTAAGAACAAAAAAGATTTTAAAAATGAGTAAAAAGGGAACAATGAAGAAGACAAGAGCTAAGAAGGATGGAGAATAATGGGCACTGACAAAGGAGTCTTCTTATGTATGTAGGTATATAATAATCTTTTTCGTTTGAAATAGACAAAGACATTCCCTCTTTAGACTTTTGAAGATCTTTTTACTGACACGTCTTTCTTATGTCAGTAAGACTAAGGGAAACGACTTTTAGCTTAAGTTCTCTCGAGTCTTGTTCATACATCTTAATATTCTTGAACCTTAATATTAAACTGATAAAGAACATATAAGTCTTAACCAAAGGTACTGAAATTTGAAAAGGGTAAAAGTAAAAGACATGGTGAATTATTGATTATTGAAGTTTGGCCATACCCAATTTTTTTGTTGGTTTGTACAAAGGGAAAAGACACAGTACTGATGACTTGGCCTCATGCACCATCAAAGTTGATCCAAATCTTTGCGATCGTATTGGTCAGAGTTGGATTATGTTTTTGGGTCTTTTATGGGTTCTTTTTCTTTACCCATTCTCTAAAATTTTATCTTTTTGTTTGTTTGTCTTTTGTTTTCTGACTCATTTTGTCTGTGGTCCTTGCATGTCTCTATCACCCATTTAACATACGATGACAAAACTCCATAAAAGTTTAAACTACTACGAGATTAACAATATATTTCTTTTAACAATTTATTATAGACAATACTAAAGATGTTTTGTAGAAAACTAATCCTAAATTTAAGGGAGAGCTTGTGCAGTTATTGCAATTATGTACTCTTTTTGAATGTTTCATTATTTCGAGTAAAACAGGGAATCAATGTACAACAGAAAGCCAAGAAAGCAAAACTTATTTTGATAACAAACCGAGGCTGAGTTTAACTAATTGGGAGTGAATAGTTCCAATTAGTAAATATGTTTTAACGAAAACAAAAGCACAAATTAAACAACAACCTTTCATGGACTCATTAAACTTGCAACATAGACTCTCCATTTATGTCCAATAATCAAAGCTTTCACTCACCTGTGTCATTTGAACAAAGTAAGATACCTTTAAAATCTTTAAAACCAAATTAAATCATCAAATCCATGTTTAGAGTCTTTAGACTATAGGCCATGAACCTATTGGAACATTTGTACACGTCCTTTATCAATCAATACCTAAACGCTTGTCCAAAACATGTCTCATATCATCAATCATCAATGAAAGTCCGTGACTAGGTTATATGTCTCCCCAATGTCCAAAATCAATGAAAAGCAGATTGGTATACAAAATCAATGAAAAGTAGATTGGTATCCAAAATCAACCATATCTCCCCAAATGTCCCAAAAACTGCCTAACTCCAACAATCTATCAATTCATTTCTCCAAAACATGTCCCATCTCTTAAATCACCACTGAAATCTATGACTAAGTTTACTAATCACCAATGCGTCCACAATTGCCACAAAACTCAGTCACTCTAAGACCTCATCAAATCATATATATATATATATATATATAACTATTCTAAAGTTCATGTATTACTCCCAACACTAAATCCTACAACCGATCATAACCGTAACCAGTATAGTACTTCACACATGAAATGCTAAAATGTTTGATTCATATCAAGTAAGGTATTCATCAAGTGTTTCTGAGAAGTACACACTAAATAACTCAAAGACTAGCTACATACCTAAGATCAATCAGGCAGACAACATTATTCAGCTTCTTCAACAGCTACTGGCTTGGGACCTGGTTTAACAAAATCAGTATAACAAAAAAAAGTTCAATCCATATACAAACCAAGAATTAGGTACTATTAGAGAATCTGAGACCAATGTTACACCTACATGCCTACATCAAATTCAAATCCGATGTAAATTGAATCAATTGATCCACATAGATTTCATCATTCAAGAAACTAAGAGTAACTGAGTTCAAATTTCAAAGATTAAGCAACAACAAAAAAAAAAAACCCTAAGAATCTCAATTAAGCATTCAACAAGCTCACCGTGAAGAGAGATAGGACGGTGGTCTTTGCCCCAACCGACGCCGCGAGTGGCGTCGAGATACTGCTGAACGAGATGGCGACACTTCTGGTAGTGATTAACACCTTCGACGCGGTAACACCATTTGACCTTCTCGCGCAAGATCTTAGCCTTTTCGATATGGATCCACTTCTCACGAACAATGTGTTCTCTCATCTCAACCATCGCAACCGGGTCCTTGTACGGATTCTCCGGATCGAATCCATCCGGCGCCGACTCTTCGAACTCCGGCAATCCCTTCTTCCTCCCCATCGGATTTTTGATTTCTGAGATTGTTTTTTTTCCTGATTTTTTTCAGGTAGTGGTTTTGTTGCTGTATTGGGCTTTTAATTGCCTCAATTCGGCCCAGATAAAGCTTAGTTACAGTTTATAATAATACATAATTATATAATGCAATTTGAATATAGTTTACGATAATATATAAAATTATTCTTTTGGGTTTTCACTTATAACATAATAAATCTTATAATCAAGATTTTTTTTTTTTTTTTTGAATATTTGAGTTGGATTCAGAAAAGTGGTGTATGTCAGATAAATAGCAGGGAAACCCTAAAATACTATATTGAAAGGTTAAAATTGATTAAATATAATTATGTATCAATATGTAACGAAAGTATAAATACTGAACCCTTGTAAAGTAGTCAAAAGAATTAATAAATCTCTATATATAAAAATCCGAGGAAGTAGAGACATCAAAGGTATTCATTGAGCCATGACCTTAAAGGAAATGATCGAGTTGGGTTTGCAGATCCTGAATGGAGATCATATTGATATTGGCTTGTTCTTCTGGTGAGTACTCAGCTTTGAGTAAGGACTCCACTTGGGTATGAGCTTCCACTATATTTGTCCTGAATACAAAACGTATACTTAGATCATCCCATTTTTCGTATTCAAACTAGCAAGCGATTTGAGTTCAGACACAAGGAATTAGGACAAACACAGATATGTAAACCAGCCAATGATATATAGTTTAGATGGTTGATAAACTCGAAATTTACTTACTTGATTGGTTTGAAAAGTATGGTCCTTGTTGATGGGTTTTGCAAATAGAGTTTCATTTTTGCCAAAATCGGAAGCAACTCTTGCTGTATTGCAGCATATACCTGGTTATAGCACATGTGATGAGAGATTTGTTTTTGGATTCTGAGTTATAAAGGTGGTAAAACCTTGAACATGTAAAAAGCTATTGCGGGTTATATATTATCTACGCTGATTCACTATTTACCTATCGGTTCAATCACACTAAGACAATTACCTAAGGAACCACAACTGCATGTTCAAGGTATCATATCATTGCCATCTATATTCGTTGGTACTTAGAGGCTAGCACAACATATGAACAGAATTTATAGTATCATAGCTCAGTAAAGAAAGGTGCATCCTTCAGAGCTTATTAAAAGGGAACAAGAACTAACTGCCATCTCTAATTCTGAGATATACCTTCAAGAAAAAGATAGAAGCTAAAAGATTAAATTATCTATCTCATACCTTCTGAACAAGTTCAGCCACCTTATCCGGTGTAGCGAAAGCTTGTTCCTTCAGCGGCTTAGCCATGACAGAATCAACCTTTTGATTCTGAGTTCTAGTGGAAAGAGTAACTTTTATGGCTGTGGCCTGCATATACAAGTATAGAATGTATAAACATAGCAAAACTATTATGCTATTCCATTAAGAGAGGATACTCTTCAGATATACAGATCATCTTCTTATCATTGGTGCATTGTATTTAATAGCAAACAGAACAAAGGATGTCGAGTTAAACTTTATCGAAGACGTCAAGAAGTCTTAAACGAAATGTCTAAAAACATTTTTTGATAGATAAAAGGAAAGGAGAAAACAACCTTGGTCACAAATGAAAGCATAGGATCCACAACTAGCTTAGTGACTGACATGATGAACTCCTCACAAGTTGTCTTAAGACATTTTTCCAGTTCCTGCGAGAATAAAAGGTCTACACATCATTCCCATTCATATCAAGTGATGCAAAGACCCAGGCATAGAATGAGACGTCCAGGTAAGTAAGAGACCACCAACAAACTAACAAAAAATTGTCATATCTCTTGAGCTTACTGTCTTAGCCGAAATATAACCCAGATTATGAAATTATAAATTTAAATCTTTCACCAATATTGTACATCAGTCACGCAGAATGGTGCTCAAGTTTAAATTGTAAAATGAGATCAACACATCTGAGTGGCAAACTTATGTAAACATGAAGAACATATGCAATTGATTGTTGATGGAAGAGAATCACCAACCTTCTTGGCATCTATTTGACTCTCCAAAACTCGAGGTGACAGGGTCCTTGCTAGGGAGGTTGACCTAGACCAGTCAAAAAGTGACGCTTGACCTCTAAGTATCCTTCTCAAGTGCTCCTAACCACAATTTTGAAGAAATAATCAGAGAAAGTTAGCTAAGTCATCACCAAAGAATGAAACTGAAGGAGAATAAAGATCTAAAAGGTGCACCAAAAAATAAGAAGGCTAGAAAGAAAGGTTAATTATAGCAATCATACAAATTAAACTTGAATGTCAAGGAACTAACCAGTAAATGAGAGAAATCAAGCTCTTTGTGGGTGACTGAAAACTCTATGTCAAAAGGTGCAATCTGGACAAAAACAATAATTTTTAAAGTCAATAAGTTAATACTTAATCGCAAAAGAAGCAAACAAAAGATATATTAGCCCCAACCTGTTCTCTCAAGATAAGAAGATGTTTGATAAGGAAAAGCTGGCCATCCATTGTAGTTGATCGCTTAATGATTAGCTTGCTAGCTTTCTGTTGCATATTTGACAAAATAATGTGGACATCTCAACTATTGTATACTTGGAGCATATATAAAAGTTTGGTAATTAAAATCAAACAAAAGCAACTACAAATCAAGAAAATGAAACATCTTTGTGTAGTTAAGATTGATAATGTCATTGAAAATAAGGAAAAATATCAAGGCGGGGAAAATCTGGTTTTCTAGCTTGCTTACTTGAATTGACAGAGAGCAAACTTCTACAGCTTCCTGTGGAACAGAAGAAATGGTTTATTAGACAAGTTTGCCTAAACGTGTATTTTCTTTGACAGAATGAGAAGCAATACTGTTACTAATAGTCTTGCCTGTGCTAATCCAGTGAAGACTGCAGGCTCCAAGCATCGATATAGCTTAGATAGACAAGAGAGAGTCTTTTCCAAAGGTGGATACCAAGTCTTAAATACATCAGCGTTTTCATCATCCTGCATCTTAGAATATAAGTATACGGCACTAAAGATTACCAAACCCATAGGAATAATTTGAGAATTTCGTTTTACCCCGAGAATAGATTCAGATGTTGTATCAGGAGAAGATCCCTCTAGCTTTGCAGGATAATCCAGATCTTCGTCAGAGGGAATATAATTTGCAATCTGCAGAAGTGAGAAAGGAATTCAAACAGAGCAGCCCAAGATAGCAAAGTCTTCTAAGATGAAAGAGGATAGTACAGCCGAAATTGTAGCAAAATTGTCCATTTAAAGGTTGTTCAGTATCACAGTTATAACAGTTTCATCTTATCAGTAGTAGGGTGACTCGTCTTAGTGGTGACAGCATACAAAGTTCACTGTTTCTACATAATTGCAAATCAGAAGACCACACATGGAAATGAAGGCTAAGGTAAAGAACTTGTAGGAAAACTATCCAATGCTGTACCTCATCTCGAATATATGTTCTGGCACGGAAAGTCAACCTCTCATTGACATCGGCCAAAATTCTTTGCAATGTAGGCCGCAGTCCAGCGAGGGGTTCACTCTGTCTAGCTGAATGCTCCCCCAAGACTTCAACTTTAAGGATATGAACGAGCTCACATAGAAGATCGATATTTGCTTCGTGGATCAATTTTGGGCGTAAAATGTCATACAAGTACGTGGACCTGTTCGGGAACAAGTAAATGTGATAAATTAAATGCACTAAAATAAGATATATACAACCGAAAAAAAATCTGGATCCCTTACGCTTACTCATATTTTCTGAATCCTAGACTTTTAAGAAGCCAAATCAGATTCGAAAAAGTTGATTACAGTGTAGTGGATCCACCGACTATAAAAACTTCCCATCTCTAAAAAGGATTAAAAGACTAGCACTTAAAAATCAAATAATATTATCGAGGCAAAGACAGCAAAAGTAGGTTCCTATTTCACAATAATGGTGTAAAGAGAACGAGAAGTAGAATAAATGTAACTTCTTAATTATTAAGTATTCAAGTAGATATATAAGATGTTTATGGCTCGAAATAACAAATCTTCATCAACTGTCTGTATCTCACTATAAAAGGCCCAAAGTTCATTTTAGGGTTAAATTGAACAGAAACAATGAAGGTGAAAGCACGGTAAATATAAACTTACAAAGGATCGACTAAAGGTGCCAGACTTGAAACTTCGTCTGATGATGCTGGAAAGAAATGAGTAAACAGTTGATGCTCCATATGACAAACCTGAAAATTTCATAATGGATGTTAAGAAGTGGTGCAGTAATTTCATGTTGTGCAAAACCAATTCCATCAACAATCTCTAAACTCCACATTTGCTAAAGCTGATAATCCAGTCGTTCTCACTCTCAAACAGACCTACCTTTGAAATCGCACATATTAACAGCTAAACTAACATTCTCAATTTTCTTAAATTAACAAAGGACCCTTTTCTACTAAACTGGTACAGATCCAAGTATGCCTCATGAATAAAACGAATTATCACTTTACTTTCCTTCATATACCTGCATCAGATATGCACAACCCGATCTAGTCAAAGATGGCAGTGCTTCTTTCTTGGAGAAATCAGATACTCGTTGGTGAACTATGCCTTTGACCTGATAATGCGAAATGAAGAGTGAACAGGCAATTCTAGTTACTTTTAGACAGACACTTAGCCATATTGAATTCCAGAAAATTAACTCACAAGCGAGAGCCGTTGTTCACAGTATAGTCTGTGACATTCTGCAAGTATTTGAACGTATTCCTTTCTTGCTGACCTACTTTCGATTTCCTCCAATACAGGTTTAAGCTGGACAAATAATGTTTTCGATGTTCAATGTCAAAAGAAAGTAAATACCACCATGTCATAATGTCAAGATTAAACTAGCAAAATTGACACTGAATGATGCTACAAAAGCTATTTCTCATAGTTCACTTATCTAATATTGTGACCCTAGCATTTCTGCACTAATATTGAAAGAAAGCCAAAAGGTATCACCTCACTTGCAGCAGCCTTGAAGCGAACATATATAACAGATGCCTCGACACCCTCTGAGACAGATGTTTTGT